CAGTGTGGGAAGGAGAAGAAAGATGAAAGCAGCGGAGGGCTCTGCTAAATAGTTGATGAAGAATGGAAGGGGAAGTGGAGATCACTTTGGAAAGGAGGGGAGAGTTGGAGGAAGGGGATCTCTTCTCTATCCATGCATTAGTCGCTTTTTGGCTCATCACTTTGGGTCTGCTAATGGACAGGTTATCCAGCGTTACCACTTATGTAAAAACCAGAAAAACAGTGATGAACAAAAATGTTTCTCAGAATTTTTTTCAGAAATAGCATATTGTTTTCTTCTCAGACCAAAGCATATTCATCAGTCTGCCAAGCTCAAATTAGATACAATTTATACAGTGAAGTCAATAGCTGTCACAAAAAGGAGTATTTACTTCATCAGGCTGTTGTATCCTCTGAGGCTGATGTCACAGGATTTGTCTTGCAGTTGTAGAGTCTGCTAATGAATGACTAGTGTAATTACTTTTTTGTAAATGCAAGTTACAGGCAGTCTTAATTTAGTATAGCACAGTGCCTTTAGCTTAGTTGGCTGATGAAACATTGGCTTGTCTGTACAGTTACCTTTTTCACTTCAGTCCAAGATTGAGAATCTTTCTCTATTGCAATATTTCTGCGTGATTTTCAAAATGCCCTGAAAGTAATTCTTTTAACCAGTATCACTTTATCTTTGTTTAAATATATCTCTGATCTGTTGGAACTGATGGGAGAGATGTTTTGTTTCGTTAAGTTTTAACTCGCCAGGTAGTAAGTCTATTTCAATCTAGCACACAGTATGCTATTAAATGAACAGACTAAAACTTATTGTGGAGTTAGATGATGTCCTGGTGATATTACAGAATCAATGACTGTGCTCTAAGACTTTAGACAGTGGAAAAATACTAATTATGTATATTTTGGTTGGTGGATCAATTAGTTGAGCTTTACCAGTGGATTCTATCTGGATTTTCACCAGGATACAAAGAAACTTCCATTAATAATAAACTGTATGGGAGTTGCTCTTTGCTTAGCAACATTATTGAAATACCTGCTTTCATGTTTGGTAAACTTCTAGTTTAAGTCATTTATAAGGAGAGAAACACTTTGATTTTAAGCACAGGTGAGCCTGATAAATGAAGCATCCCTTCAACAGTCCAACATCATTTTTTTTAAAGTTCATTTTAAGCCTTGAATTTTACATTAGCAAATGTTTATAAATTATTATACATACAGAATCAAAGTGAATAGGTAATCTGAGAAGATGAGTTTATCTGTACTCTTAGGTAGTTGCTACCATTTTCTTGCAATCTCACTATAGTTACCATTGTGAGGAGAATAGTCAATCAAAGTTGAGTATATAAAATAAAATTGAAAATTGAATTGGAAGGTAATTTTACTTTCAAATGGTTTGCAAATGTAGATGTTAAGTGTGAAATGAATACAGTTAATGACCATAGCTGGGAGAGTTATGCACCTGCTGATCACAGGAATATTATTATAAATGAGGTTGATTTTCTTGTTGACTACCTCATTTTTCTCAACATGGTCTCATTACTTTTCTATCACGTCTGACCCTTAGATATAAATACTCAAGCACAGACATAATAAAAATACATCAACTCCTATATAGATTTTTTTTAATGCATCTTTGAAAATCAAGATGTGTGCTGCAGATGTTTCTTGCCTTTGTAGGTTTAGCATAGGTTGTGCCTTTTGATAGGAAAAAAAAGGTTGAGTTTCACTACAAGTACTCTTGACTCATTTAACAAGTGAGAGTTCTAATGTTCTAACTCCCATTGTCTAAACTATTCAGAAAAAAGTTTCATCATACCCTTGGGTTTTTTTTGTTTTCCAAGAAGCAATGTAATTGAAAAGTTTGAAAGTTACACTGACTCTCATATAATTATCTATCTTCTCCCAGGAAATAAATTTTTACCAAATTTTAAAACCATCTTCTTTCTGCAGTTGTACCTGTTCCTCAAATGTTTTACCTACTTTTGCTTGTAGAATATAAATATTTTTATTACTTTAAATCTATTTACTGAAATAAACTTTAAGATCCTTTAGGTGTGATTATAACTATATATCTAAGGTTTGTTGCTTCTTAACAGCATACATACCATCACAAAACCATCTTATTTTAGACTTATATGACAGAGTCTGATATAAATGTGTGTATTTAGATCTAAATGTATGTGTTTAGGATTGTACTTCAGAATGTAACTGAGCTGTACATTTACTAATGGTGTTTTTATTCCTAAGGTACCTAGTATTTTTCATGAGGGAGAAGAAAACTATTCATATAAAAATAAATAATAAAATGTAAACATGCTGAACTAATACTATAAAGTGAACTTAAGTTTTTATTGCCAGTTCTTTGGAGATATACATGACTAAGTCCAGGCTCCTACTGCTTTGTTGTAGCATCACTTAAAGGAACATTCTCCATTGAGAATTAGCAGTTTGAGTTTCAGCAGGAATAGCATTTTATTTGTGTTTCAGCACTCGGGTTACTGCAACTACCTGGGTCCTCAGCACAGTTGTTCAGCTCTACACATAACCAGGAGATCTAGGGGAGTTTCAAGCAACCACTACTTCAATTCTTTGAAGTTCTTCACTGCCTCAATTTCTTAGCACTTCTGAATATCAAGGTTTAGAACAGAGTTGAGAGTTTCTGAAAACTACATCCATAGGTTTTTCTTCAAAGGGCATATGAGCAGCGAAGTGATGGATGGAACTAAGCCTTGATCTGGGGCATAGGCTTAGCTATGCAGCGAACTTTCTGATGATCTTAGGTTAATTATTTCACATCTTGCTTAAACTTCTTCCAAAGTAAGATCAAGCCCAGGTCTTGTGATGAAACCACTTTTCAAGGACTTGATAGTATTATTCATCCATACATAAATATATGTGCAGCTGATACTGATATCTGCTATGTTAAGCAGTAGCAGTGGTAAGGATATAACATTCTTCCCCCCAGCACAGTAGTGAAATTTCTGCCTTTGAAGTGTATGTGATTTATAAGAAGAACTTCTGGTCTTTCAAAATGAAACAGCTGGTAGACTCTTCTACTTTGTATTGATTTGCCCAGCCATGTTATGGGGATAATCTGACCTTTAATCTATTTATCTGCAAGGGAGAAGAAGAATCAACAAGTTCTGCAAAGTTCATGGACTTTGTTTGCTTTGCATGATGGTCTTAATGACTGTGGGAAAACAAGAAGGTGCTCCTGTGTTTTTCACTTGTACTAATAGAAACTTTTTGATGTTTGCATACTTGCAGTATATTTCATGCTGTCCTTGATTGAATGCTAAATTATGTAACTTGTTCCAGAGTTAATGCCCTCCTAAGTTAACCTAAGGAATCCTAAAAACATGTCAGGGTGTTTATTTGCAAATTTGGGGTGACATTTCATTAATTAAGCTACAAGTAGTCCTTAGTAATGAAAAAGTGTTTTCAGTAATAATAGTAATAAAAAAAAAAAAAGCCTGCAGAGCAGTCTCACAATTTTAAGGTAAACTCCAGTATTTAAATGTAATGATTGTGAGTAATTATTTTTAACAACACTAAGTAGAGACAGAAAGTTGTTAACTGTAATTATTTGTCATCTTCTCAGAGGGGTTGCTAATTACAGAGGAACACCCATCTGTTAGAAATAAGCTTGTTCAAAAATAATAGGTAAATTAGTCATTATTTCTCCATACAGAGAAGTGTGAAGTAATGTCTGTCCTCCAGTACCCTAAGGTAGGATGGCTGGGGGATATCAGAGTTGTGCTGCTGTTGTGGTTTTACCCCAGTTGGCAGCTGACCCCCAAACAGCCACTCTCTCGCTCCCTCCACAGTGGGATAGGGGAGAGAATAACAAGGGTAAAAGTGCAAAAACTTGTGCATTGAGATAAAGTTTATTAGATAATACAAAAGCTGCATGTGCAACCGAAGCTAAATAAGGCATCTGCTACTTCCCAGAAGCAGGCAGGTGTTCAGCCACCTCCAGGAATGCAGGGTGTCTTCAAGCATAAGTGTTAATTGGGAAGACAAACACCATAACTCTAAAATTCCCCCCTTCCTCCTTCTTCCCCTAGCTTTTAGTGCTGAGCATGATGTCATATGGCATGGAATATCCCTTTGTTCGGTTGGGGTCACCTGTCCTGCTGTGTCACTTGCCAACTTCTTGTGCATCCCCAGGCTACTCACTGCCAGGCCAGTGTGAGAAGCAGAAAAGCTTGCTGTGTAAGCACTGCCCAACAATAATGAGAACACCTCTGGTATCATCACTGTTTTCAGCACAGATCTAAAACACAACACTACCTTTAAGAAATTTAACTCTATCCCAGCCAAAACCAGTACAAATGTTCACAAGACTTGCAGGAAACAGGATATAAAAATGAGCCTCTTCATCAGTTTAAAGGAAACCTAATCTCTGTGACTGTAGCTGTGGTCTGAGTCTGTTAGGTCCTTGGTGTCATTGTGAGATGACCTGAATAGTGAGCAATAAAGTTCTGTATTATAATTCACATTTGAAGATATGTGCTCAGGAAGTAAAACAGATAATCGATGTCTTATGTCTGTCTTTAAGCCAACAGTCAATATAAAATGACAGAGGCATTTTTAGGAAGAGAAAGCAAATAATGTTTTTCTAGTTAGCAGGTGACAGTGTGTCCCAAGATAATACAAGCTTAAGGGGCAGAAACAAGTGTGGTTATTAAAGGCTACTGGGTTCTCAGTTTGTACAAATTGAATTCTTTCATAGTCTGAAGGGCTATGGAAATCTAGTAAAGAGTATAGACTGTTGAAATAAAATTAGCATGTAAAGTGATTTTATATATGCAGGAATATAGCCACCAAGTTTGTATTTGAGGGAGAAATCTCATTACTTATCTTGTAAAAGAAGTAATTCTTAAATTCCATATTTGCTATCACTGACATAAAAGTTCTGCATATGAATAGTTTTTTTGTGATTGCCCAAAGATACTGGATTATTGAATTGACAAAGATCTGTTCTATTCTCTCCTGCTTTTTCTTTTATAGGGTAACTGATTTAGGAAATATTAAAAGAAGATTGTATTTATCAACAGTCCACAAGGAATTGTCTGTAACCCCTCTGCATGCAAAAATTCCTCTGTTTATGATCAAGCGCAAAATAGTAGGTACCTTGGGAATATTCCTTGAACTGCAGTTGAGCATACTTTATCAGAAATGTTTTATGTATGGTTATAGACCTGTTGAAATTACTGTTTGGTTTAGAATTCAGTTCCTGATGATTCAAGATACATGTTTATGTCCCCTCTGCTGGATGGTATCAGAACCACTTAATACTGCTGCTCTTTTACCCTTCTTCTAACATTAGGAGTTCGTTCCCATTTTCCCAGGTTAATGCTGTTTGTGATGTGTTTATCTCTCACTTCTTCTGTTTATTCAGCCTTTGTTAAGTTCTGTTTGTTTGAGATACTTCCTCATTATAGTGCTTCTGTCCATATGTGCCTTCTCTTGTAGTGTCTTTTATTTTGTTCACTGGAGCTGCAGGTAGACTGTAGCTGATGGCTATTTTCATGTGCTTCAGGTTCTTCCAGATTCTGGTTTATATTAAACAATGTGTATGTTAAACTGATGAAAATAAAACAATAGCCATCAGCTTCTCCCTGTTCCTGTCTCCCATGCCCAGCCACAACGTATGGTAATAGCTGTCAGGATACAAAACCTGATGGTTACTGTATGACCTTGTAAAGACTCAAGTCTGAAATGCTGCTTTAGAAAATCATTTGGAGTTGAGAACAGATTTCAAATAACTTAAAATGGAAGTATGCACCAAGGGAATGAGATAACAGTATACTAAGTGGCTATGGATTTAAGGCTAGACATGAGAGAGAATATTTTACAAAATCCTCTGAAGTTATGATTTCTTTCAAGATAGTTTAGGTGAAGACATCTGTGATAACTTTAGATTTCAGGAGTTTTCTGCTTTGTAGGAAGAACTGGTTGGACTTTTTTCAAATGAATATGCATCAGATCATACCCCTGAAGTTGCCATTAATTCAAGATCTGATGAAACGAAATTGTTTTTCTTCAGTATAAATTCAGTTAGTTGGTCTTGGTGTCAGGCTAGCACAAATGTTTCAGGATAAAAGTATGCATTAATGTACACCAAGTTAAATTCAATCAGAATATGAATTTCACTTACGTGTTTTAATTCAGATAGACAGGTCTCTGATTAATGTTTTACTATATGCTCTGATCAGTTACAATGTCAAAATATTTTAATAACATTAATGCATGACAAACCTTAAAGTGTAGGTCTGTATTTCTTAGTGTCATATCTGTCTTCTTTGAAATTATTATCTTTCTTTTTATTGTTGCTTTTACTTAAAGGAGGGAGTATGCTGCTTTCAGTGATAAGATAGATCTTTTACATGCCTCTGCTATTTTAACTTATTGTATGCACAGACTGACCATTATTATCAGCATGATTGATTGTGAATAAGGATATAATATGTTGTTTGTTATATCAATAGAACATAGGTTACATTTTCATGTGCTACCTTCCTGTATTGTATTCTTAGAAATTATGCTGTTTTTCAACCTCAGCAATAGAAATATCAGTTATAATTATAGTATTTTCCTTTCCATTGCTTGGTGCCTTCAAGAAAAGTGTTACTTTCCTTCCAAATTTTGGACTTAGAAGCTGAACAGTAATACATGCACCTGTTTTTTTTTCCTCAGAAAATATTTACTATTTGACACTTAGAAACTAGTACTTTTACCTTGACTTTATAAGAAAATAAGGTATGTACAATCACTGTGCCTTAGCATTCTTCTCCCTTAATAAAACTTCAGCCCGCTGGTAAACGAAATTTTACACATGAGTAATCATATCAAATATATTGCAGTTCTGCAAATTTCTTGAAAATGGTTGCATTTCTCCTTGAGGCCATCTCTGTATATTTCCCAGTTATAGAAGATGTGGTAGCATTAGTTCATCCCTCAATAGATAATCTAAATCAATAAGGAAAAGAATTGTTAGGAACATCAGAACTATGAGTACGTGGTTTTAAACATCAGAGATGCTAAATGGAAAACATAAAGCCACAAGGAAACATATTTTATTAGTTCCTCTGCTTGTCATACTACTTGTTTTATATGAAACTTCTTTTTTTTTTTTTTTCTAGAAGGGTAATAGGATATTCCACATGCAAAATAGACACCTGTAACTACTTATTTCTGTATTACAAAGAATAGTGATATACAAGTGTTGATTTAAGTGGAAAAAATTTGAAACATAGAATTTAAAAGAGCTACAAGAGCAGCGCAGGAGAGTGTAGCATGTTGATGTCAGCATTCTAACAGTGTTTCCTGAAACAAATGGAATAATCATCTAATGAGAATTAAAACATGCTAAAGTAGGGTCTTTAGCAACCCAAGCAGTTGTCATTATCTGATTTGTCTTTCAGAAATGTTTTACCAGGAATGCATAACATTTATTATAAACAAGAAGTAGATTTAAGATGTTACCATACACTGGGGTCTTGTCAATACTTGAAATTTACCTGATAATTTTCAGTGTGGAAGGGGTGCAAGCTTTGGAGAGGTCCTTTTTGTTTGTGAATCTCAGAAAGAATGCATCAAAGAAACAAAACTATGGGCTTTGGAGCACTTAAGCTGCTGGAACTTTAACTTATAGAAGTAATATTCAATAACAATTCTTTTTTTCCCCAGAAAACCTTTTTTTACTTAGAAATAGCTGCAAAATATATTGTGGATATGCTAGGTAACAGAGCTTACTCGGGCTGGCAGTCAGTAGGTCATATGTACTGATTTGTTTGTATAAATAATTGTTCTAAGTGCAAATAAAGCAATATCATTTTTATTATCAAAATGTTACACATTGTGAATCAGAGCCGGTGAGAATCTAATACTCCACAGAGACTTCAGTCATAGAGAACTATATGCAAATACTTGTCTGAAATGATTAGTGTTTGGATTTTATTAAAGAGTGTTGTTTCTCTTTTCTAGTGGTGCAATATGTGTATTGACTTGGTAGCATTCACCAGTGAAATATTCAGAGGAGCTGTCTTCCAGTCTTTGGATGGTATTATTATTTCAGCTAACTGTAAACTGAGAAAGATCTTCACTTTAAAATCCAAGCCTCAAGATACAGCTGAGGAAGATGGTGTGTTTTAATTACTATTTAGTCTTAATCATAACTGTTCATATTACAAAATCAAAAGTCATCTTAGTCATCAGATTGCCAATTTGAAAAATCATGATTTCATGAAAATTTAAGTGGTAGTACAGCATATTAGACCTGCTAGTGTTAGTCTTTAGGCAAGTAATTAGGTATATGTGCACTCCTCTTTTTTAAAAATTGGCAATTTTGTCATGAATTTTCAAGTAGAGTGCTTGTTTTGATGTGTGTATCTCATGCTGATAGGAATCAGATTTTGGCCAAGAGAAGAGTATTTGAAATGAAAGCTAAATACTTAAGCTTAGCAGCATTTACTGTTTGTTTTCTTTATTTGGGATGTTAGTAGGTGATGAAAGATTTCTTCTTTATATAACAAAACGGTATTATATGAAACAGAGCAATGAAATTATCATAAACACCTGTCTGTGATCTTTAGTCCATTTATCCTAATGTGTCCTTGTTCATTGGGAGATTAATATTGGTAGTAAGCTGAAAAACGAGAGATTAAATTTGTAATAAAGCAGGATATTGGTCAAAGGTTTACCAGTCTCCAAACTAACGTCATAATCCCAAATCATTATTTTCCAAGGTAGAGAACTTCATTCCTCACTGATATTTGCAGTAATAGAGGAAGAATTAGAAAAACACAGCTGGCACTTTCTTATTTTAGAGGAAGCCTAGGTATAGTTCAGCTTCAGTTTCATTCAGATTATAATTTTGTGGCTTTTAAAGAACACACCTGAAGAAATGGTTCTAGTTTCTGAAGGAGGGATAGTATGCGGTATTTTAAATGTAACAAAATGTATCTTCCATTTGGAAAACCTAAACCAGTAAGGGAGAGTATGTGGTCCTTGTGATTTACTCTTTTTTTTTGTTGGTGGTGTTGGTGGTGAGGTTGAAAAAAAATATTAATTAAAGAATTACTATAGAGAGAATCTGGTATAGTCTCAGCAGAAGCTGCAGTTAGAGGCCTCACTGGCTTAATTTAATCCCATTGGTGCATTGTTTTATCTTCTTCCATTCTAAACAGTTTTTGAATGTGCGTAAATGTTCTAAATGAGTTCCAAAATTCCAAAATGTAGTTAACATAATGAGCAGGCAGCTTTAATAAATTGCATGCATGGTAAAATACTACATTTTTAATTACTGGATTATCAATTCTATGATTATTACACAGCTGGTGGGCATTAGAATTTTCTGTGTGCTTATGAATTTCCTTATCTAGGCAAGTCTTAAAATTGTTACAGCTCAAGGTTTGGCTGTATTAAAATAATTCTGTACTTCATACCCAATTAGAGAGAAACAATATTTTTTTATTATTATTAATTAACTTCAGTTAATAATCATGATTCGATAAAGCTTTTTTCCTCTCAGATGACTGGACCAGTTAGTGGAGCTCCACTGAATGCAATGACATTGCAACTTGCAGTGAGGGTCAAGTTCTTTGCTTAAACCTCCTTGGTGGTGGAAGTAGTGATTTCAAGGTGCAATGTGTGTGTTATTCTTTCTTAATAGTTTGTGTACAATATGCTTTGCATTCTTAAAGTGATGGCAAGTGGAAAGGAGAAACCACATATACTAAGAAATTATTTCTGTGTGAGATTACTGAGATAAAAGAGAAAAGAATTCATCTTCTCTGCCCTATGGTGTTGAGGCATACAAGCTTGATATATACCTAGTTTCTGGTTTCCATAGTAATCCTGAGGTTACATATGGGTTTTTTATCAGTAAGTATTGTCTTAAAGCAGTAAATAAAGTACCAGCTTGGTGAAGAAAATGGTTGCTAGCATTTATCTTACTTAAATAAATATGTCCTCTACTGAAATACAACATGGCACACTTGAATTCTTCTATTAGAGTCTCAGTACTTGATCCATTGTTTGTGTTTGGGGTTATGTTTTCCTCTTCTTAGCCTTGGAAAAGAGGCTGGTATTCGTTAGCTTACTATATTCAAGTCTTACAAAGTTTGGAATGAATTTGCATGAGAACATCAGGAATAGTTCTGAGTCTGGGTGCCTTTCTTTGTAGACAATAACTTTCAGAAGGTCAGTCTGTATTGATTATGAAAGGGAAAGCAGAGACAATCAGATCACATTCTACTAATGCCTGGTGTCACAAGAGTAGATAGGCTATTTTCAAATGTTCATTTTGTCTGAAAAGTTAGTATATCAGTATTACAATTAAAGCTGAGCTGTAATAAATATTAACTAAATGTGTTTTGTGTTTCTGTTTTGCTTGTTCACTTGCCAAGTCAAAGTTGGTTTATTGGGACTATTCCAGCCATTGGTGCATATTTCTTTGTTTAAGCATATTCAAATGTTTTGGCCTAAAAAATACACAATATCATTTTGAAATGCACATGCTTATTGTATTACAAGTGATCAATTGCAGCAAATTTTTCAATTTACTGTAATCTATTAAATTGCTATAACCATATGAACCAAAATATATGTAATCTAATGAATAATGTAAGTCAAATTTAATTCCATTGTGTGATCTGAGTGAAGTGAAGCCCATGTTTTTTGATTCTAGATACGTGTGTTGTTCCATTCATGCCATATGAGCCCACAGATGTTATTCCTCGAACCTGCCAGCTAAATACAGATGTGCCACAAGTGACACAATTGCTGAACCTGACTAAAATTCATAAACCAGAAATAAAATGCAGCAGATATCCAGTAACGGTGCAAGAAACAGGTATTTTGTTGTATTAAAATACTGTGATTAAAATACTGATCTCTACAGTATGCATACAAATAATGGGGGAGTTATTTGTAAAAGTGCATGTTAAGAGTTCCAGTTCTTATAATAAAACATGACAATTCTTGCATAGCTGCAATACCATGAGCACATAGGGCATATGTCTGTTCTATAGTTTCAGAGATCTATGTGCAGCCTGAGCAATTCTAATTGAAGTGGGGGATTTATAGTAACAGTATTTGAGGTATGTCTTCTGAGTGTGGCTGTTCCGTTGCTACACTTCCTTTTAAAGTATGTTTACATTAATGAAAATCTTCTAACAATCTGATCGTGCATATTCTCCTCAGCTTATACTCTGAAAAAGGAAATCTTTTTAGTGTCTTGGAGTTAACTGAATGTTTCTGTAAACTAGAAGATAATAAAATATATAATTCAGACCTTGACAGCACTGCATAGAAGAGGTTTATAAAAGAAGCTAGGCAGTCATGTGCCAAGATACAAACTTTTGACTGGGGTAAAAACTAAGAGACAGGAAGCAAACAGAGGATCAAATGTTAAATTTTTATAGCTGAAGGCTAACAGCAGGAGGCCTCGAAAGTTGTTGGTTGCTTTTTCATTGTTGTTGTTCTAGGCTCTGTATTGTTTCTTATAGTTATGAATAATCTCAACAGAGAATTGAATAATGTGGGAGCAAAATTTTCATGTGATACAGTTACTAAGGTAGTAAAGAATGGGACTTCTTATTCTGTAGATCCATTTGCAACTGCATACATCCTGGAATATGTGCAAGCACTTCTTAAAAAAGAAGGTTTTAATGGAATTTAAAATGAGAATATTTTGTATGCTCTGATTCGTGTCCTTCATGGAGAACTGATAATTTTGCACCTTTCAAAATGTTGAATAGATTGTTATTTTCATCTTAAACTTGGTCATTACATAAACTTCTTATTGCAAGAGCTTATAAAAAATGCCTAGGTGAAATCCGTCTCTATAGGCACCCTTTTTCCTCTACTCTTGTTACATTATTATTGGTTTCTGAATGAGACCCAAGACTAAGCCTTTAATTTGGCCCATATAAAATTGCAGTGTCTTACTAATGTTTTTATTTTCACCTTACTCTGTACTACCTTTTCTGAGTCATTGATTCCTCATACTAAACAGGGTAAAAGAGCATCTTTTGAGAAGGAAATAGGTCTGAAGTAGCTTAGAAGTGGGTCTGAACCAGCAAATTAGATAAAGAATCCATTTTCAATACATCTTCATCTGTGTAGGCAATGTTAGAAGTGGTGCTGTAGGTAAGCAAGATACATTTTTATTCCACTGGTTTTGGTACTTTCTCAGTCTTGAGGATTCTCATCTTTAGTGTTTGAATACAGTAAGTAATCATTTCCACCATTTCTGTTAAAATGCTCTGGAAATGCATGTGCAAAGTATTGATCGAAGGAATAAGATAAATTACAGGGAATGATAATCACTAATGAAGATTAATACTATAAAAGGCAAGACTATTACAGACAACAGTAGTATTTAAGCTATAGCATCTCATGAAACTTAAAAGAAAATTAAAGTTTGAAATAAATATTTCTTTGAGAACAACCTTGATAATATGAAACGTTTAAGAAAATACTTTTTAAACATCCTTTCTCAAGGAAAGCCAAAGTCAAGCCAAAGTTCTGTTGTGAAGTTCAATTCTAAGTTTACTTTTGAAATAGCAGAAGAAACACTGGAATTCATTTCTCAGCGACTGTATTCAAAAATTGATTCTTCTTGGCTGGGTTGTCAAAATACAAGCAACTATAAAACTTAAATGAGTACAATAGTGTGAATGATGTAACTAAACAGAAAAATGAATGTTCATTTAAAACAAGACTCCCATTTTACCATCTGGACTACAAAGATATATAGCTCTTAGGTATATATAGTAAAATAATTAATGATAACATCTCTGACCTGCATGAAAATGAAATGCCTTCAGTTTAAGGTTTAATCTTTATTTTCAATCCCATTTTATGAACATAACATGCGTTCTTCCAGACATGCTTTTCAAATTTCAGAAATTGGCTGCCTTGAAAATGGAAGCTTTGGTATGTTTAAGTGCATTTTAATTGTTTTCATCTTAAACTTGGTCATTACATAAACTTATTGCTAGAGCTTATAAAAAATGCCCAGGTGACATCAGTCTCTATAGGCACCCTTTTTCCTCTACTCTCTTATTGCAAGAGCTTATAAAAAATGCCTAGGTGAAATCCGTCTCTATAGGCACCCTTTTTCCTCTACTCTTGTTACATTATTACTGGTTTCTGAATGAGACCCAAGACTAAGCCTTTAATTTGGCCCATATAAAATTGCAGTGTCTTACTAATGTTTTTATTTTCACCTTACTCTGTACTACCTTTTCTGAGTCATTGATTCCTCATACTAAACAGGGTAAAAGAGCATCTTTTGAGAAGGAAATAGGTCTGAAGTAGCTTAGAAGTGGGTCTGAACCAGCAAATTAGATAAAGAATCCATTTTCAATACATCTTCATCTGTGTAGGCAATGTTAGAAGTGGTGCTGTAGGTAAGCAAGATACATTTTTATTCCACTGGTTTTGGTACTTTCTCAGTCTTGAGGATTCTCATCTTTAGTGTTTGAATACAGTAAGTAATCATTTCCACCATTTCTGTTAAAATGCTCTGGAAATGCATGTGCAAAGTATTGATCGAAGGAATAAGATAAATTACAGGGAATGATAATCACTAATGAAGATTAATACTATAAAAGGCAAGACTATTACAGACAACAGTAGTATTTAAGCTATAGCATCTCATGAAACTTAAAAGAAAATTAAAGTTTGAAATAAATATTTCTTTGAGAACAACCTTGATAATATGAAACGTTTAAGAAAATACTTTTTAAACATCCTTTCTCAAGGAAAGCCAAAGTCAAGCCAAAGTTCTGTTGTGAAGTTCAATTATAAGTTTACTTTTGAAATAGCAGAAGAAACACTGGAATTCATTTCTCAGCGACTGTATTCAAAAATTGATTCTTCTTGGCTGGGTTGTCAAAATACAAGCAACTATAAAACTTAAATGAGTACAATAGTGTGAATGATGTAACTAAACAGAAAAATGAATGTTCATTTAAAACAAGACTCCCATTTTACCATCTGGACTACAAAGATATATAGCTCTTAGGTATATATAGTAAAATAATTAATGATAACATCTCTGACCTGCATGAAAATGAAATGCCTTCAGTTTAAGGTTTAATCTTTATTTTCAATCCCATTTTATGAACATAACATGCGTTCTTCCAGACATGCTTTTCAAATTTCAGAAATTGGCTGCCTTGAAAATGGAAGCTTTGGTATGTTTAAGTGCATTTTAATTGGAAAATGTTCTTTTTATCTGCTAAACTTTTTGTTTATTTGATAATCAAAAGCCAAAATTATTTTTAGTATCATCTGCTTTTAATTACACATTATTTAATTATGCCATCAACACACTGTTATGTGTAGATGTAAGTAATTAATTGCAGTCAATTAATGTGTTCATAAAGACAGATTTTCATGCAAATCAGCTTTTATAATTGGAGTTAACAACATCCCAAGGTAGTCAGCAAATTAAAGAAATTGATGTTAAAGCAAGACAGGTCATCTAATCTTGTGAAATGGCAGCTGTTAGCAGCAACCAAATGTCACATCAGGAAAAAGGAGAGAAGGTAATGGTGTAGTGCTCAGCCCTGGTAATGCAGTAGATTCAGTAATTTCAAAAAGCAAGCTGGGTGTAAATAGTTCTGCTTTGAGTTGTGAGTGATAGCTTGACGTTCTTGCCTCAGTTTTCTTGTTATTATTTATTATTCTGTTATTTATTAATTAGACTTGTCTTTTCTTCTGTCAGAAGTTAGATTTTCATTGAAGTTCTAAAGAAATCACACAAACTGGTTTTTTTTGTTTATAAATAGCCCCTTCTTAAATAGATTTTTAAAGTAAGAAGTAAGTTTGGTTTGTATAATAGACCAAAAGTTTCTTGCTTGTATGTTAACACAGTTTTATAAAACGTGTCTGATATTCCTACATATTTCTAGGGATCGTGCTATAAAGGCAAATAACTTTAATGTATGTTAAGTATTCATAATTTTTTTTATTTCAGTTGATTTGAAAAAAGTATTATTATTTATTCTTTGAAAGTACTGTAACATTTTTTTAAACTTTTATTTTTCTTAGGTAGCTTGGTTAATAGAGGACAAGGCAGTACACGCATCAGTAAAACTCAGGATGTATCACATATTGCATTTGGATCAAAGATCCTTGGGCCACCTCCGTCCTCAAACAGAAGAGTCAGCACAAGGGGATCTGGAGAGGTAAGAAGGGCTAAATTACAACAAAAGCACTGCTACTCCTACAAAGAAAGAGATTGGTAAGCGGAGGAGTCACACTAAAGGGTTTTCTTCAGGACTGGTGTGAGGCTATGTCTGGAGTACTGTGTTTGGTCGTGGACACCCAGTGTGAGAGATACTGTAACATCCAGAGGAGGGCAAGTAAAACGCTTGGGTGGCTATAGCACTTGACATGGTTTGTTCAGTCAGCAGAAGAGAAAGCTGAAGGATAATTAGTTGCTATTTTCAACTAATGCAGGGCTGTAGAGAAGACAGGTCTTCTAAGACAAGAGGCAGCAGTGCCAAATTGCATCAGGGAAGCTCTAACTGGGTATAATGGTAGGTGTGGCTCAGTACTGGAATGGGGTCACAGGGAAATTGTGGATTTTCAAAACTTTCAAAGATAATAAAACTTGATGAACAAGCTGATCTCATTTCAGCATTCAACCTAAAGAATCTCTTCCTGCTGAAATTACTCTGTGATTTCTTATCATTCTTTTATGATTTTTTTTTTTTCTAAACTGGTAAAATTTGTGTGTTTGTAAATATTTTTTGTCTTGATGAAATCTGTGACACAGAGCAGAAATTCAGTATTTCTGTGTACTCTCAGTGGATGATAGTAAGCCATAGAGTAGTTCGTGTGATGCTTTCATTACAGTGCAAAGGGAAAGCATCTGGTTTCAGTCTGCCAGCAAACAACATGCAGGTTTTAGGAGTCTGGTAGGGACTGAATTCCTGGTTTAACACTGTGAATAAAGGATCTGGCCAAAGGAAAAAGGCTCTTCTATAGGAAGTCAATTGAAAGCTAAGATGTAAAATGAGATTCCTTTCTCCAAAGAAGAAGGGACTCCTTCTGAGGTCTAGAATAGCCACAAGTCTCACCTTTTTTTTTTTTTTTTAATCTAGATAGTGAATTTTAACTTTTTTTTCTTTGCCTTTTTTTCCTTTTACTCAGTGAAAAAAAATGTGCCTGTTAGTAAAGATTGAAGATACTGCACAGAACTCTGACTACCATGAAGTTTCCTGATAAGGCAATATTTTAAAAAAAAAAATTTGGGAACACTTATTTGAAAAATAAGCTTAATTTGAAATGTGTGTTTACAGTTGAGTATTTTGAAAGCTGTTATGTTTTTGTCTTTCATTAAGAAGATTATGTCTTTTAAGGTAACAAAGATCTGCAGTAGCAAAAGTACTAGATCGTGCCGACTTCAAAGTTCAGGAAAGAGAACTGAATCCGTACAAGACATTGAGAGATCGGAGCTATCATTCTCACCATGCAATGATTCTTCAGATCGAGGAGGCAAAAGAGATACTTGCCAAACAACTAAAGTTCTATGTCAAAATGGTAAGAGCATAAAGCAAAGAATATGTAAAGAGTTCACAACCTGCCAAAATTTTTGCATGATTTTGACTTCAGAATGTAAGACCTGATGCCGAATTTGCCCCAAAAGGCGAAATAGAAACTGCAGTCTCAGAAAATAGAAACTGCTCAGAAAATAGAAACTGCTCAGAGACTAAGTTTTCAAGTCCATAAGCAGGAGGTATTTATTAACAACGCGTTGGGGAACTCTCCAGGCCGCCCTGGACAAAGAGTTCCGTCCGTTAGCAATCAGTGCAGCTTTTTTATACAAGCTTGAGTGTAGGTTACATAATCTTTACATGCATATTCATATTTTACATGCATATTCATATATAGGCGGAGTCTTCCATCTTGGGTATTCATCTGGTGGGAGTTCCGGTGCCTTCATCAGGGTGGGGGATTGTCTTGTGAGTCTTCCTCAGGTTAAACTTCTGAACTCTTCCTAATTTGGGTAGCTTCTTGGTGTACTTGGCAAGGTCGGAGTGACCTTGGTTCATCCTAAAATTGCTGAAGCCACTACTTCATGTTCTGGTGTTCCTTCCTATCAACTCGTTCTGTTCTCTCAGACAATTTATTACCTTCGTGATTTGGTAAGATCCAGCAAATAAGATCTAGCAAATGTAGCCTGACTGACCACAAACGGGGCCTGCAACTACTCGGAGCTATGACAAGAGAGGATGCAGGAATGTAGGGAGTAGTCCTGAGACCAGCACACTGATGTCTTGAAGCAGCAAAACAGTATTGTCGACCTTGTTAGGAGATAGGGGATTTAAAGAAGGAACCCAGCTTACATTTTAATTCCTTATTTCTCGAAGACTGTTTCCTTTTGAGCGGTTTCAGACCTAATTCTCTGTTTTTCTAACCGTTTATCTACCTTGTTATTTACTGAAGGTGTTTATATTAAATCGTGGCATATTCTCCTGTATGAGCTTGAATAAATGCTCATTCTCTCTGCAGGTATTCCTACTGTAAGTGTTTGAGCCAGGGATCACCACCTGCTGGCAGTAGCCACAGGTTATACATATAGTCCACTTTCCCTCATGCTGTGTATATAACAGGGCTACTGCAGTAGTTCTTGATTATTTTGCAGACTTTTGCAAGCATGTTTTTTATAACTTTTATGGTTTCCCCTTCTTCCATAACTAGTATTAAATTTTTACTTTCTTGTGACAGTCTTATATCTGCTGGTGTACAAGATTCCTATGCTGTTTGGAAGGTGTTTGTATCCCAGGACGATACTGTTTTTCCATGCCTCAAGTTAGAAAAGCACACAATATAAGTGTTCACAGGCATTTCATAAGCTTCTGGGTTTGTGTTTCAGACCCTGCAATTCAGACTCAGAAAACCTCTGAGAGTGGAAGAGCAGATTTTCAGCCCACTTCACCACAACGGCCATCAGCAGACAAGAACAGTCATACAACGTTATCTCTAAAAAATGCAGCCAAAAGCACATGGGAGATAACCAGTGGTATGGTGCTCATTTTATGTTATTTTTACATCTCAGTTATGTGTGGTGTGGAGAACTCTCTGCTGTAAATTTTGAAAGACCCAGAAGCAGTTCACATAAAATATAAATGTCTGTGTTGTGGGGGATTATGGAAATCAAACACCCTGCAACAGAATTGCTTTTGAGTATTGATAAAGATTTGCAGGATTAAGGAGAGTATCAGAGTAATGAATTAATAAAAAAAAAAGGAAAATTCCATGCTCTCATGATTAAAGGGAAAGAACTAAAAATAATTTGTTGTTTAAATCCCTATTAAATTTAACACTGAAGACTCCAAACATCAAATGTACAAGAAATTTTACTTGTCCCAGATAGGAATTTAGGATTTAAATTACGGTACCCATGTAATATGAGGGGTTTTGGGGGGTTGTTTTTAAAATTCAGTGGTGACTTTTTTTTTATTTTTCAAAGAAAGACACCTGAGCTTATGTTTTTTTCCCTTTCAAACATATCTACCAGAAGGTGTGGATATTTTTTGTCATACAGTATCAATCGGTTTTCTTGATTGTGTCTGGAAAGTACATTATTGTGGCAAAACCAGCCCTCGTCTCTATGAAAAAGTAGTGTTGCTTTCTATTAAAAGACTTGACAAATGCTAAGTAGAGTGGGGCAGTGACCTCTTTATCTCTGCTGGTGATGTCCTTGTCAATGTGACCCAGCATCCTGTTGGCTTTCTTTGCCACAGCTTGACTGCTATTGAGCTTGCTGTCCACTAGGACCCCAGGTCCTTTTCCACAGATCTGTTCCCCAGCGGGTAGATCCCAGTCTGTGCTGTGCTCAGAGCCCAGTTGATCCCTGAGCGAGCTGAAGTTTGCCTTTCTAAAATCTAAAACGTTCCTGGCTGGCCCATATAACATTTGTGTGAGGAAGTGATCCTCTAGGCCTTCCAGGAGCATATTGTGAGCTGCTCTATTGTTCTTCCCACAAAAGTATGGGTAGCTGAAGTCCCCCATAAGAACCAGGTTCTGCTGCCCCAAAGCTTGCTTAAGTGACCCAAATAATGCTTCGCTGCCCTTTTTGTCTTGCTTTGGAGGTCGGTAGCAGATGCCTACTGTGAGATCCCCTGTAAGATCTTATTACCTTAGAGGTTAGTCGCCACTCTTTATGATAATACCTTTTAGATCTATAATAGAGCTCAAATCAGCATGTCTCCTGAAGTAGGTGTGCAGTACCTTTACAAAGGTAAGTTGTTTTTAATGAAGGGAAAAAATAAAATGAGTGAGCATTGTTTATAGTTTGCCAATCTTATTTATGCAATGTTGAAACCATTAAAATGTTAGGCTGCAATTAGAAGCTTTAGCATAAGTCTGACTGTGTAGAAGAGCTAATTAGATGTTTAGGTGATCATTCTTGCATTTATCTTGTTTGCTGCAATGTTGTGATTACATAGTAATTTGCATATTTTGCGAAGAAGATACTGCAAATTGTTCATTACAATTGACATGGAAATGCTGAGTTAAAAAGAAATTCCAGTATAGTTTGTGGTGGAGAGATAATAGGATTTGGTTTGGTCCAAAACACCCTGGGTCTTTCACTTGTAGACGATTAACAAAATGTTACACTGACTACAGGTTACAGCACTTGCTGAATTCCGCAGCCAGCGTAAAATGTCGTCTTAAAGCCTTAGAGACCTTTCTGTCTTCCTCCTGCATATTTCATTAAGAATAATACTGTGGTCTAGAAACTAATATTTGCATTTATCCTATTACTAACCCAAGTATATTTCTTCAATGTCTCTGGCAGCAAATGTTGTTCTTTACAGAGAAGGTTAACCTAACAAAGCAGAATATCCAGCCTAACTATTATACAGGCACTAAATCTTTCGAAGTAGGTCTTTATATTTCTGAAGTACTTTTGCTCTAAGATATTACTTTACTCACAATGGTGAGTAAAAAGTAAAGTTATGTGTATCCAAGTTTTTGGATGTCTGTGTCGGAGCCAGGAGTAGGAGTCAGAAGTTTAAGCTTCTAAATGCCTCCTGTTCTCTAAACTGTTCCGTAAGATTTTTATTTTTTTTTGTATTTTGATACTTACTTCAAAATTGACTTAAAAATCACAAAACCCAAGTGGTTTAACACCTTTTTTTTTTTCTCCAGAATTCATTATAAAATTGTATTTGTAATGACTTCTGCAAATTGAACAGTAACAACTGCATTAAAAGTCATTCTAGAATGACAATAGAAAGATGAGACTGCAGTTAGGGAAGTTGGTTGTTATTTAGTCTGTAGGCCATAATAAAAATAAAGCTGCTCCTCTCTGCTCATTCACTGTCCTTTCTGCATAAATATTAGCAGGTTCTCATGAAGTGGGTTGTATGCTAAATGTATAACCATACTATAGAGGGCTCCTTACAGTGGTCTGAACTGTCAGTGCATATTTGAAAACTGCAAAGACAGCATGCTACATGGAAAGTCTGATTTCATGGTGGGGGATGAAACAAGTAGGTGCAAGCCATGAATGTACAAGATGTGCCAAATCCCTATTTTTCAGTGTTTGCTAGTACAAACTACTGTTTAGGATATTAGCTAGTAAAGCTACCAAACTCTAGTTATGTTCAGTAAACTGGAAGATTCACAGCGACCCAGTGAGAAGACAGCTGTTTCTCCTGGCTCTCTCTTTCTTCTTTCTTTTGCCTTCAAACATTGAGGTTCAGACTTTCCCTCCCAGCCTTATCCCAAAGCTGCTGAATCTGCCTGAAGTGGCAATTATCTCTAACAAAGCTAAAAGGACTAGAATACCATAGTAAATTCACTGACTTCTGTGATGGCAAGCATTTTATTATTGCAGTACTACTTTATTATTACGTTTTTATTGAGGCTTTTTTAATACAGTTGGTGGTAACTTTGTTTTATGGAGCCAGAAAGTTTCAAGATGTAGTGAATAATCCACACCACACTGCCTTTAATGAAGATAAGGGAGTATTGTATACTTGAGCAATTCACCTTTGCTAAGATGCTATTTGATATTGGTTTTAATCAATCAAATTGACATTTTTTTCTATACCATCATTCCAAACAGTAAAATATAAGTTAACAATAAGAGTATAAAAATGGCCTTTTCATGTTTATCTGGCGCATTCAATCTTTAAATCCATTTCTGTAGTTTATTGTTTGTTTTAAAATTGGCAGATTAGTACTGCCTGTATTCAGGGAAACTTGGTGAAACAGATATCTTCATACATTTTTCATGTCACACTATTTTTCATCAGAACCACAGTTTGAAATTGAGATCTAAACCATAAGTTCTGGGCATAAAAGAAAGTGTAGAATTTCAGCAATGAAGAAGCATCAGATTGTAATGTTATGAACTTTCCACCAACTATATATGGTTATTTTTTTTAAATGTCAGCCATAGAAAAATGCCTATAGAAAAAGATCAATAGCCAAATTTAATACAATTGTTTTCCTAGAATGAAATTCAGTTGAACAATTTCAAATCTTAACAGCTAAATAGTTTCAGATTTGCAAATTGCTGTCTAGCATGTCATATATCATAGCCTGTGGATTTTTTTTAGCTGTGATCTGGAAATGTATGATTAACCTTGCCTCACTTAGAAAGCAGCCTGATCTTCTTCATTGCATCCTCGTCACTCTTACAACTGCATGGATCTGATAAGCAGAATGTTTCTCTGTTAGAAAAACTTATTTTGGTGTACAACTTCCAGAGAAGACTAGAATGATCAGGGTAATATACAATTTACATATTTGGCATTAAAGTAAACATTGTATGTTTCAGATGAATGGGTGTTTCCAGAAAGTTTCACAGAGAGCATTCAATTGGATAGGAATGAGCAGTTCGTAGCTACTGGAAATTCAGCCTGCCACAATTTAACCTCACCACAGAATGCCTCTGTTGAACATCACAGCAACGAAACAGGTGATCACCAAGTGAATAATAAAGAGATTTTCACATTTTCATCAACACCTCGATCAGCGCCTCATGGGAAGTCTTCAAGTATGTCACCAGAGTGTTGCATTTTCCCTTTGGATTTGAAGCAGGACAGTAACAGAGTACATGGAAAAACCCAAATTGAAGATAACTTTCAAGGAGCTGACAGCAGTGGAGAGGTAGGCCACTTTGTATGTGTAATTCTTGATAAAGTCATCTTCATCCTAAAACTCCTAGGATGAGATTCTGTCTGCAGACTAGACAGAGAGGATAAATCGTCTTTTCCACATACACCTATAGATAGATTTGTCTTTGTCAGGTTGCTGGATACAGGAGTGAAAATGCAGGTGCACCCTCTGTAAAAAGTGGACGAAAGAAACCTAACTCTGTCAGTCTCTGGGCTGACAGAGAAATGCGAGTATCATGCATCATTACAACAAAAAAGATTTTAGGAAAGCCTGCATCATAGATTCAAGTGAGATGAAGTCTGTTATGGTTGAGCAAGAGTGCATTAAATAAGGCTTTATTGTGCCCTTTAAAACTGTAAGCAGGGAGACTGTTTTGCTCACTAACACTGTTGAAAGTAAGTTAAGAAATTTCATCTTTTTTTATGTCACTTGATGATCTGCATTTCTACTCTATATCCTGAGTCATGTCAGCATGACCAGCTTTAATTCTTTTGCAATGTGGAAATCTTTCAGCAATAAAATTAGTCACAGAATCATAGAATCCTTTGAGTTGGAATAGGCCTTAAATATCATCTAGGTCCAACCCCACTGCCATGGGCAGAGACACCTCCCACTAAACCAGTTTGCTTAAAGCCCCATCCAGCCTGGTCTTGAACACCTCCAGGGATGGGTCATGCACAGTTTCCCTGGGCAGCCTTTCCAGTGTCTCACCACCCTCATACTGAAATTTCTTCCTGATATCTAATTTATATCTCCCCTCTTTCAGTAAAAATGGTTACCCCTTGTCCTATTGCTACATTTCCTGATGAAGAGTCCCTTCCCATCTCTCCTGTAGCCCCTTTAGGTACTGGAAGGGGCTTATAGGTCTCTCCAGAGCCTTCTCTTCACCTGGCTGAACAATCCCAGCTCTCTCTACCTGTCATCTTAGGAGAGGTGCTCCAGCACCTCTCATTTTCCAGTGAAAAAAAAATATTTTTATTTTTTTTAACAAATATATCAGCTGATACTATCTAGAAATTCACCAAATTGTCAATCCACGGAGTAGTTCCATTATGTCATTACAGTAACTGCTAAAAGTTTCTACCTTATGAACATTCTTTGTAAAGATACATCTCCAAAGCAGTGTAAAAATGGCAAACAAGAATTTCTGAAGAAACCCCAAACACTAAAGGCCATGCTATGATAAATGAGTGAAAATAAAGTGTCTTTCAAAACACAGTGCATGTGGCATACTTAACTGATGAATTTATAAATTTATATAAATTAATCAAAAGCTAAAGGAATCATTAAAATTTACTGGTACTTAAGCCTTTATTGAAGAAGGTAGCAAACATTCCATGCCAACCTTCCAATCACATTCTGTGGTTCTGTGATTGTCCTGCCCCCGAAATCGAGTTTCAAGCGCACAAAGAGAAAGCAGTAACCAAGTACTCCTGCTTTTACAGCGCAGGAAAAACCTTGGGACAAAGCCTCAATGTCCATTCTAGAGGCTTGATGTAAGACAGACTGATAGAAGATCCCTATCTTCTTTAAAAAAATTTCAAGTATTATTTAAACTAAAACCTTCTCTTTGACTGTATACCAGAGATGTGCTAGGGAACAGCCTTTGTTTCATTCATTATCTTCGGATGCAAACTGCACTAAATAGTATCAGCACTGCAGCTGGAGGTGGATTAGATTTACAAAGGTAGAAGATAATTGCTTTAAACAAGTCTACAGCGTGCTAACAAATTAGCAAGAGTTTTTCTTTCTCAGTCTAACTACTACATCAGTAATTCATAGCTAAGCCTTTCTTTCATGTAGAAGTCACTGCACCAACAAATTACTTAGCAGTCATATTTTGCCTATATTCATCCTCTTCCTTCTACAGATACATTGTGTGTCGCCTCTTGAAATCAGCCTTATACTCATAAATCTGGATACATATTTACTATTCAAATTGTTCTACTTTGCATTACCGAAGTAAACTAGAAAAGTTTTATTTAAAGCACTGAAAATTCAGGAAAGAGGATCCTGGAAAAGCTGTGATAGCTGAACATAAGACTGCTAACTTAATGGTATCTACTTTAGCGCAATTTAAGGTATCTATGCAAAATTACTAAAATTCTTTAGCCCAACCATAACATTGGTTTACTGAATTTTCCCAGTTTACTTCACTTATATGACAAAATATTTATTTTACTAAGTTATGCTGAATCTTGTGGTGCCTTTTAAAACCATATGTTAATTTTACATGCTGAAATAAGCTATGTTGTTACAGGTTTTCACACTATTATTGTTTCTCATGATCATTGTGTTACAGCTTTCTTTGAAATTCAAATACGTTATGTTTGTGTATAATATATAGATATGTGCACGCTCTTGAACTGTATCAAATAAGATAAATATCTTAACTTACAATTTAGATAATTGCACATGAGCTTAAATTGCATTTGTCCTGGAAAATGTAAGTAGAACTTAGCTTTAATTTAAAAAAAAAAAAAAGAGTTTGCATATCTTTGTAGTTTAAATATCTTGGACTGGTAAAAAGTCCAGAAGTTTTCCTTGGGTTTTTTATGTCACTGCATCGTGAATTCAAAAATTACAGTTAAAGGGGCAAAATCCCAGTTTCATCCTAGTCCACATTTGAAGTTAGTGGAGCTGCAAAGGAGAATTATATACTTTTTTATTAAATCTGTTAAAAATGAGTATTATCTACAGAAAATATTTTCTTAATTGTAAATTATAATAGGCAGGTTATGCATCAGAATAAATTTCAAATAAGTGAGCGTTGACTCTCTTTGTTGAATATACTGAGAGCCAGAAGATATGCACAATAAATGTGCTAGAATTATACAGTTTATGTAACTTTTGGCTTTTGGTGAGGAAATGTTTCATCCCACAAACTGAAAACAGCGAGTATTTATAAATTCCCTTTAGTGGTTACTAATTAGTCCTTGAAATAGTTCAATGTGGTTATTCAATTATTAGAGTCAAATAATCAGTAAAGGATAAAAATTGCTTCTTCTCTTGGAACCGTTCACATCAAGTGACTTATTTTGTAATTATGTGAGTGTCCATGTTATCAGCTCAAATTTCTGTCAGAGAATTTGTATAATTAAAATTTTTGTGGCCACATTTATGGATTCTGTCAAACCCAGAGCAAAACCAAAAGTCTTGCTGATTGCAAGAGGTGTGTGTCTGAGGCAGGTGGGACCCCATGTCACATAATGCTATCCAAAATGCTGTTTAAAGTGTAAGAGGCAAGTTCATCAGTGAAGCCTTCAATGAAGAAATTGAGAATTTTTCTATCCTTTTACAACTCAAAGAGTAAAGGAATAAGATTAAATAAGATAATGTACCCTTACAAAGGCTGTTAATTTCACTCTGATACCTCAGTATTAAAGCTCATTGTACAAAGGGCCTATAACCCATCTGCTCCTAGTAGGTGGTCCTTTATAGTCATTAGGATGATCTTCCTAAAATTACAACCCAGAGAGAGCAATCAGTTTTATGTATCCAGAACTGCCCATCTGCATGTTCTTTCAAGGAATACAATACAACAGTGGAAGTGCTTGTTCCTTAGGAAAATCATTCTGATCTTCAGTTTACATATGCTGCACTATAGTTAATCAAGCAAACACTATTGATGTTTCTGGCACCATTTCATGATTTAGTATTTAACAGATTATTCTGGAACCTAAATACATATGGCTAAAGAGGCATGGAAAGGTGGAAGGGACTTAAGCTTCATATTAATCAAAGTTATCTGTTTATCTCTAATGTTTGGGGGAAAAAAATACAGTGGGTTTTTTTTCGTAATCTTTCATCTTAAATTAATGTAACTTAATATGGGTTTCCAGTATGGATTTTAAGATAACTTACAGCAAATAAAAATCTATGTATAAGAGGAAAGTACAGAACTGTGTTTCAAGGAAATTGCAAAGTGAAAGAATAAAACTATAAACTTCCAAAACATGTATCATTAATAAAATTGAGGGATTATTTTCTTGAATGTGCGTTTCATTCTGTGTCATCCAGTCGTGGACTCATTGAAGTCAGTAACAGACTTGGATCACTTGCGTTTGCAGTGGGACTGAACCTTGGCTACGAGAGACACTGAAGATGATATTTCAATGTCTTATTGAATATTGTAATATATACTGCCTTACATCCAGTGTGGTAGCATATGGCGAGGACCAGCCTGATGACGTGAAGATGACGCCTCTCGTCCTTTTCCTCCTTGAGAATAACAACCTTGAGGCAAACACTAGATGCTCTTCCCCATTGTTTTTCTTTCCGCATGCTTGGACTTGCTGTTTGTTGTTGAGGTGGAGTAGGAGTGAACGTCACACACTTGATTCATGGGATATTTTGCAGAGACATTGTTAGAAGTATGAATACGAGATTAACAAACTAACCTCCAAAATTCCTAGATAATATTCAAATGGTATTGAATGTGATATTCAGTGATATTACCAGAGGTGAGGAAAGCCATCTCAGCAGGAGTTATTACTTCCATGTTTAAGTTGAAGATGTGCTATGAAAATATGGAATATTAATAATTCAATGTAAAACATCATTGTTGTGGAGTTTTTGCTTACTTTTGGATTAAAATTGTAGTTTTATTGAAATTATGATTATTGTGTAACACGCAGGTTTGGGAAGTTACCAGCATTCTAAATTTGGGGCAACATTCTGAAAAGTGCAATCTTGTTTTCCTCTACTCCTCTTTCTACCTTCTACTTTTCCCTACTTGAGATGTAAGAATATGTTTGTGGTACTCAATGTGGTTGCCAGGGAGAGCAGCTGGTTTTCAGAATCCTTGCCAATTTAGAATTAGGCAGCAGAGATTAAATAGCCATTTTGAAATTTTAAGGTTATGTAAAACTGTATTGTGTGATGATGAGAGGGAATCACTCTTGCTTTGTTTCCTAAATTTAGGATGACAACAATGAATTTATCTACAGTGCTGACAGCCTTGAGATCAGCCACAGCTGGCAAGAAACATCTGAGTCAGCAGTTTTTAAAGAGAGCCCATTAAAGAGTACGTCATGGGGAAATGAATACCGGAAGAGTAAGGAGGAGGAGGAGAGCAAGCATAACCTCGAAGAGACCGTCGTATCAAAACCACAGAGTTCCACTGTGAAAAAAACAGATTCTGTTAGCTCTCAGAGAAGCTTAAAGCCTATCCTTTCTCTTTCTCCAACTGGACGTAAATCTGAATTCTTTAAAATAATTCCAAATGAAGCTGAAAAGACTGAAAGATACGAAGGAGTTTCTGATAAATTAAAACGATCCATCAGTAAAAAATCTCTCAAGAAAATCTCAAGACAAAATCCATGTCTGACAAAGCAGACTTGTGTAAGTGATTTTTACTTTGGATTTAAATCATTAGATTGTATAGAGAAGCTATACTAAATATACCCATTTGCATGAATTGAGAAATGAATCTTTCATCCAGATATATTCTGGTTTCATCACAACAGTATTTACTGAGCTCAGTCTGTTGAAATTTGATTTCGTAGGTTTTTGTGGCACAGAAAATAGTACACCAAATAAAACAGAAATCACAGAGGTTTATAGATAAAAAGAGATGTCATTGAGCAACTCACATTTTGGAATTATGTGTGTTAGAAAGTAGCTTTGGGCTGAAAGATTACAAAGGAAAATTGACAGGCTTTGAATTGATATATTAATGAGTGACAATAGAAAGAGCGTTAATCTAGATACTTCATAGTCGCTCTGCGACAGCCCTGCAAAGTAATAAATTATGTGATTGAGGGCCAGCAGTAAGGCTGTCATAGGCTAAATTGCCAGGCTACTGGCATTGTTACATTCACCTAAAATTCAACTATATTTATTGCTAATCATAACTGTGATCTATTTTTCCGTAACAAATTAATTACATTGATTACTTTCCCTAAAAGATGTTACCGGTGTCTAATGCAGTGATCAACTTTGTCCTGTAGAATGTAACTAAAGATAGACTACTAGGTGGATTTCAGTCAAGTTTTTTAAAGTGTTAGATATGTTTTACAGCTTTTTTTGGTGATATTTTGTTTTAAAAGGTGAAAAAAAAAGAGCTACCATTTTTCCTCTGCTCGATAAATAGTTGATTACGAAATTAGACATTAGGGTTATTACCATACTGCACTTGTAGCTGTAAATGCATCGCACATGTAATATGTTGCTTGTTTTTTGCAATGGCAAAGCCTATTATAGAAATTCAGGAGTTACAGACTGGTTTATTGCAACAAAACATAACATGACTTTATATAGCAGATTTAGCTCTCATACTTGATTTCATCAAGTAATATAATTTTCCCACCCAGGGGCCTTTCCTTGGAGTTCTTTGACACTTCATTTTGTACCAGGCCATGGTCAAAATTTGAATCCAAATTTTCATGTCACTGATGGCCTTTTAAACAGTGATTGTTTACATTAGAAATTATGTTCACCTAGCACTTACAGAATAGAGCCAAATACGTGTTTTTTTTTTTTTTAGAATATTTCCAATAATTTTAAAATTAATAAAATAACCTATTTGAATGTGGCCTTTTTCTGACCACAGACATATGTAAAGGCTTTTTTTTTCTATATGCTGGAGCAGTTTTGCAGGAAGAAACTAGTATTTTTGATCTCCACAAGGTTCAAGAAAAGAAGTGCTGACGTATTGTTAACTACAGTGAGACAGCACTGGAGCCGTTTTGTTGGCTGTAGGCATGTAATTATTTTATTTCCATTTTGAAATATTCCATATTTGAAATTCATTGTTTTAAGAATTATATATTAAATGATGGTTTTATATGAAAGGTTATCAATTTGAGAGTTTACAGAGTAGCCTATTCTAATCTGCTCATATGGAGGACTGGTAAAAAAAAAAAGCATAACAAACTCTTCCTGCAATCAATTTGCTAACTACTTAATACTCTTTAAGAACCTGGTTGCTTGCAGTGTTTCATTCAAGTTTTAATAGAGTTCTCTATTATTAAGTTCAAATATTTTTAATTAAGAAAGAAGTACAGCCCTCTGGGTAATATTGCAAGCATGTAGATAGCTCATAATTAAAGTTTTCCACACGTATAACTACATTCAAACAATTCTGAATAAATCATTTGAACCTAGAAGAATGCAAATGTCATTATATATAAAAAAAATTGTTTAAAGAACAGGTTTTGCCAATCTAGCGGAAGTTTTAAGCGCTTAATATAAATACTTTATCGTAAGGAGAGGATATGCAAAAAGACAAGATAAGCTTTTAATTACTAAATTAAATATTAATTTTAGACAAATTTACGAGTATTGAAAAATTACTTCTTACATCAAAAGTTTCTCCTAAATTACAAAGTTAACTTAATCTGAAATTCAATTTTCAAATTCTTTCTTTGAAAATTGACTAAGACAATGTAAAATTTGTGAAGAGGCTTTTTTGTAGTAGTCATTTGAAGCTACAGAATAAATAGTCTAAACTATTTCTCCTTTATTGCAAGTTTATTGTACAGTATGTTTAACACAAAAAATTGCTATGACATCTATCCTCCTTTGTGATTATGGATTTCTAGACTGAGACCATTGCAAGAGAAGAAAACAAAATGACAATTTTAAATAAGCTGAGGGGAAAAAAAACAACAAATGTTTCGAATTGTTTTGTAAGAATTCCAAAAATCTATGCATCTTCCTTTGTAGAAGTAAAGGAAAACACACCCAGGGTTGGGCAATGTTTCACCATTATTAAAAAGAGAACGAGAAAAAATGTTTGTTCAATGCTTAGAGCTTTTATTCTGCATGGTGCTAGTTCATGCCGACATTTTAATGACTGCATCCCAATTGCTTCATGTATGGGGTAAGAAGGATAAGCTGAAACTTCTTTATAATAGTAAAGAAAAAATGCAGAAGGCTTCCATATAGGACAATTAACAGAAAATCAGTATTTTCAGTAAGATCAATAAAAATGCAGCCTTAGGTCTGGTAGAATATTAATACATCAGAGAAAAGGAGACTTTCCAGATGTAGCATAGCAAGCTTCGTGTGAAGCGAACAAATAATTTACAGTAACTGAGCTAATAACTTACATTCAGTAAGGGTCTAGAGAAGGCATCATGTATTATTTTAGGATTAAAAATGGTAGTAATAATCAGAGTATTCAGAAATGAAACTTGGATCTCAAAAGCCAGAGGTAAGAAGCGGGTGGCAGCTGTGCTAAAAGCTTGTTGTCATCTTATACCTTGCACAGAATGGCAGGCTACATTTATCTGTGCCACAAAGTAGCCTCTGAGTGCTTGAGGTAAGTCCATAGAAAAAAATCTTTGCAAAGATATTTGACTTAAAGATTTGAGATACAGAATAAAAAATCAAAAATGTTTGCAACAGGCTTTTGAATTAATTGCATTTTTTGCAAAGTTTTGCATATTTGCAAATGCGACTGCTTCCCTGTGAGCACCCTTCAGTCATAAATCCTGTTTTATGTGATATGTTTACCACTCATTGTCAGCTTTCAGACACGCTTCCCATCAAAGGTGGTTTACTTTATTCTTTCAGTGCTAATACTCTTTTTGAACAGTTATTTTCTGTAGATGGCTTCAAGTGAAATCTAATATCATGGTCATCAGAATGAAACATCAAAAATATAGAGTTGCTACTCCCAAAATCTAATGTTGGGCAACAATCTTTAATGAATGGTGCTTAATTTCTTATCTAGAATTAAAATACGCAGTATTATTTTACATACTATTGAGATAATGACTGTTGATTTCTTTATTGCAGCCATGAGGAAATAAAAAATATGCTACCGATTTTTATTCTAAAACTATTTTTGCAAATATGTAGTAAAATATTCTAGAGCTTGAGCTGAAGTCAAGATTCTATTCATCACATGTTGCCATTAGATGTATTATTAAAAAGGAAGGTTTCTCCATCTGTCCTTCATCCAAAATTCCCTTCCCCTGTGCATTGTATTGCACATCTTTATACATGGAGTTCAGCAATGGGAATGAATCCGTGAGCACATCCCCAGTTAAACTTCCAGAGGGAAAATGAATACAGTATCCTATCTGGCTTTGCTCTAATCCCAAAGACAAAAAGAGCTGGCAGGAAAGAGGATCAGATGGACAATAATGCTTTTCTGTTTGTCAGAAAATACAGTTTTATTAGGGTATATGGAACTCCCTAAAGCAGGAAAAAGTACTGTGTGTCACTGAAAATAGCCTTCTTTTTCAGCAGTGACAACATATAATCTTTCTAGAAGTGGGCACTTTGCATGTGAAATACTAAGCAATACACATGAAAATCTAGGATACATACATATGTGTGTTGTAGTAATAATCCCAGTGTGTCTTCAGGAGGCCATGTGCCTTTTGTACCCCCAGAAGACACACTGAGACATTACACACTGAACGTCGTGGCAGGAAGAGCCAGCGATGTTCCTATCACCAGTGCTATCGCCTTGCTTGTGGTCTTGAGGGCTTCAGTTACCATGTACCTCCCTCCCCACAGACTCTGAGATTGCCCCTTCTGCCAGGAGCATGATAAACTCCTGGTCTAAAAGCCCTGTTCTCTTCATTAGAATCAAAGCACTGTCCTTTGGGATACTGTTACGTAGTGTCTTGCAGCCCACTGGCCATACTCCAGTGATCTAAAGCCTCTGAAGTCCTGCTCACTACTTGGATTCACTTTTCAAGCAGGAATGCTTTGCAATTCCATTCAAAACCAAAACTAGAGGCCTCAAGCATTAGACCTGTTCCTTTGTGAAATAGCAACCTATGTGGACCCTTTAAAAAAAGGAAAGTTTTTTCTTTAAGAAGTAGTTCTTTAAACAAAGATGATGCCACAGTGGGTTGGGTGAACTTAAAAAATCTTATCATGAGATTTTGTGTGAGGCATGAGCGCAAACTCCAAAATAGTTAATACATGTTTTTAGCTCTTTAGCCTGTGGATCAAGTTTGATATAACAATTAGAGTTACATTACCAATTAATATAAAGAAAAATTAAAATATAGTGATGTTTGTTTTAAAATGTATTCGCTAGCAAGTTACCAAAATAACTTTTAAAATTTAGTGCTGACATGTAGCTTTCCAGAGAAATTTTATGCTGTGCTTGACAAATAACTAAATGTTCTGTTGATGGCGTTTATGATAATATGATAACTGTGTGATTGGGTTTATTTCAAGATTTGCAATTAATGCTTAAGCAATTTTAGCTGCTGGGTTTTTGAACTTCTGAAAGCCTGCTTTTATCTTCTGTCTTTAATTGCAGCGGAACAGCAACTTTACTGAACACCCTGGATCCCAACTCCAATCCACAGCAATGTTTGTGTTCTTTTTCCAAACTGTAATTATGTTTAAATAATCTTGATTTTCACAGTTGAACAAAAATCTGTTCACTAATCTTTTCTAGTAAACATTTTGTTTCTCTTCAGTATTTTAGCTTCTTGAAGATTCCCCACGAGATTCTCCAACATATCTGTTTCATTCATATATCCTGCCTGTATTGTTGATTTCTCCATTTTATTTCACAGGAGTATGACTGGAAAAACTACCAGTCAAATAAACTGAGTTCATCTGAGCTACAGATGCTGGCTAGCATGAAGAGAGAAGAAAGCGAAGAATTAAGGGATACTGGGATCTCACATGGGCTGAGCGCATCACAGATAGACAACTGCAATGTCAGCATAAGTACAAGCAGTGATGATACAGCAACCTGGAACTCGTGTTTCCCACCAGTAAGTCTAAACCCACAGCATTTTCTCAGTATGGTTTCTGTCAATTTTGAGACTCAGTGATCTTGAATACTAAAATTTCTTTGAGTAGCTTTGAAATTTAAGGTATCGTTACCAAACGTTTTTTTAGAACTTATCAAGTAAAACACACAACCAAAACACAGGCACTTTCAGCAGGTTCTGTGGTACCACCACGGACAAAGAGCTAATCTATTATATATATTCCCTCCTAGAAGCCTGAATAATCATGTAGGCTGTACAGATTGTCACAATAGTGGCTGACAACCTGCAGGTGTGTGATATAGTACTTAAAAATAGTTCCAAAATGAATGAAACCCAGATATACCAGTCAGCAACTGCATTACAGTGTGAGTAATGGAAAATAATTGCTTCTTACAGTGATAAAGTCTCATTACTGAAAAGCTAACTGTTTAAAGGACTGAAGCAGGAGAACAGCAGCAAAAAACTGCAGTAGCTCTGAGCACTTAGTATGTGATCCTTCTGTATTTTACACCTTGTATCATTATTTGCCTGGTACGGAGAGGTACAAAATCACACACAGCTGTGCTATGCAATGGAATACTGTTAAAAGATACAAAGGAGTATTTGTCACAGTCCACCATAGAGTATCGAATGCATGAAATAACAGAATAACTTTTCAGCGACTGTAAAGGTACTTGCAGGAGTTGCTGTAAAACTAGATAACCTTGTACTCCATTTATATCTCAGCAACATAGTTCTTATTTTATTATAGGTGAAACAATAATAAACAATGATTGTGGCTTAAGTAAAGCACACAACACAACTCTAAGATGCAGATTGAACGATAGAAGAGTAGACACTGCTGTGTTGCCCCAATATAAACTATTGTAGGGTAAATGCTGTAAAATGTTCAGTGCAAATTAGCTCCAGGGATGTACAGGGCCCAAATAGAGCCCTGTATTAGCAGTCTTCCATAATGAATGATCAACACAGCATTGGAACTCTGTGGTACGCTGGTAAATGAAGGTTTCAAATTAGATGTATCAAATAGTAGGTAATTGTACAAATAAGACCTTATTTACAGAGTAATATTTTGCAGTATAGCAGAGAAACTTTAGTTAGTTTCAACTTTTTGAGATACATCAACATTACACATCTAGTTGATTTCATCATATATCTAATGCGCTTTCTCAGTAGTCACTAAATAGACTCAAATGTGATGTAAATCTGCAAGACTGGACGAATGGAACTCAATTAAATACAGAGAATAGCAGTCTCATTAATTTTTGAGTAGTTTAATTATAAGGAAATTGATAAGAATATTTAGACATGTCAGGTTTGGTTAATACAAATTACATGACTAAAACAAAATGAACTTTTAGAGTAAAATGTACTGCTCCAGTATTCAGTGAAGCACAATGTGCTTGCAAAGACAGTTCTTTGATCCTACTGCCTTGATCAGCTTCTGTAGCTTCAGACTAATAATATCACTCTAAAAAAGTGTTTAGATATAATAGGTTAGTAATTTAAATTGTAATTTAATATAGCTGTAGTTTTTCATAATAGTCCTTTGTGGCAATCTTTCTCTACGTAAATCAAGTGTAAAAGGCAACATATTTGTCTTTGAGAGAGAAGCTTTTCAAAGCTCATTCAGTTGACTGAAGCATTGGTGTGTGGTACATGTACAGCCTTGTCAGGTTTCTCCTCTGTATTTTGCATGGTGGTCATTGAGGTTATAAGATTTAATAGCAAGAACCTCGTTTCCAGAAGAGGTAATTTAGAAAGCAAACATAATCTTTCTCAGATAAGGGCCAACCACTCAGTCCCTCGCTACAAAAAAGACTGCTGAAATTCAGCTTCCCCAGTCTTCTCTGCCCATATGCCTCTGCCTTTACGCAAAGGGACGCGTTGTACCAGTAGAGTGTCAAATAGTCCACAGTATCTATTTATTCACTTCATATTTTCTTTTCTGAGATAGCTGCCACAGCACGTTCTTCTGCCATGCATGGTCTTGCTTTAATACCTAAAATGAGTAAAGTCATTGCTTCTTCAGCTTCCAGTTTTTACCAAGAAGTGTTCTTATATGTATATTTGCTCCTTATATATATTATCTAAAAAATATGTGAAGAATAAAAGCAGTTTTTTGTATGTCACTGATCTTCAGTATCGCCATCATTTGAGTTGAGTGAAGAGAATTTGCAAATGATTGGTCCTTCCAAAACCAGATGTACTGCAGAGGAGTTTGTATATATCTGTAGCCATCTTTAGCAATGCAGTATATGGAAAAAAAAAAAAATAAAAATAATCATCATAATGTAGTTTGAGAAATTAAGGACAGCTTGAAATTCTTGTCATGATTAAACTTTCATGCTTACATGTGTTTCCAGGTTGTATCTTTCTGATTATTTAAATCAGTCGTATCTATTACTTTCTCTTATGCTCTTCAAAGATAAGTAAGGAGTATTTTTATTCCAAATTTTCTTCCCTTTTATACAACATTTTCATCCTTTAGTGGAATCTATGGCAACAGCACCACCAGAAGGCAGCTTTTTGTGTATCTTTCATTTTGAAATACCTGTGATGTTTTGCAAGGCAGGGCACAATATAATCATGTTAGGTAGTGAACTTATGTATCAAAGTAATATTTTATATATAAAATACATTTTTATTGAGTTTTTTCCGTCACTTGCCCATTGTTAGTCTGATTTCCAGATTCATTGAAAATACTCTAATGAATCTCAGAAACTCTTCTGAATGTAAAGGCAGAGATCAATCATATTGCTAAGTTGCAGTTACAACAGATGTCCTTAAACAACTATAAAACAGATATACTAAAACTGAATTTTATAACCGATGATAGTTTACCAAGAACTGAATATATGCTGTCAGGAGAAACCGTTGAAATGTAAGTTGTTTAACAGTTGCTGTAAACTATGACAGCCAAAAAGGAATAAAATAGTTTTGAATATTATACATTACCCAGCACAGCTATCAGTTATAAATATGAAAAACTTCTATTTTAAAATGGATTTACTTTGAAGTAGAATTGTAAACCCTTGTAAAATTGGGGGGGGCATAGTTCCAAATCAGAAATATGTGTATGTAGAACTAAATATTTCAAAAGACTTTGTTAACCGTGTCTTACCTGAATGTTTTCTTAAACTTTAAGGTCTATGACATTCCATGTTAGCTTTGCAACAATATGAAATACACTGTTCTATGTCTTGCAGAATATAATGTGAACTTTATACCCACACCTATATTGGCTATCCAAGAAAATTTGCAAAGCTTACAAAATATTTCTGCTTAAATTCCTTGCTTTGTTCTAGAGATCCAGTAAGCTCTTGCCCTGGGATTTGGCCCATTCAGCTTCTTGGATGACTGTTCCCACACTGCAGACACCACTTCAGATACAACACAACCATTCTGGAGCAAGATCATATAGAAGAGAATTCAGGGTATCTTCTTCCATATGGTCCCTGATTCTCAGTCAGAAATGCAAAGGAGAAGGAAGATTTCCCCAGACTGCTCATTGGCATTTCTTAGAAGCTTGTAGTGGTGTAATGCTCCATTAGTAGACTCCAAAATGTGTTCACCACTAAGACCTGTCTTTCAAATAAGGAGTACTCACAGAAGAGAAAGATTACTTGTTCCCCAAGCAACTTCCTAAATATAAATTCAGTCACATAGGCCTTGATCTGCAAAATATCTGAAAGGGTACTTCAGGTTCATATCTAATTTGTGGAAGGTCTTCTGGCCTCCTTTGTGATGATTCCGAAAAGAAAGCCACTTAACACAAAAATGGTGTAGCAGAACTGAAGTCTGACAGACAAGAGGAGTGATATTTAAACCTAGAATTATTCCAACAGAGAGCTCAGTTTGACAACCCCTGCAGGGATCTGTTCACATCAAGTCAAATTGCAAAACTGAGGCAGACTATTCTTTACTATGAAATGAGACTAAAAATTATTTAGACAGATATTCTGGTTCATAGACTGACTAATTCACTTTCTGTCTCATCCTCAGTCTTCCACTAGCCATCATTTGGGAATTGCACTATCCGCCACCAGGCAGTGAGTCATATTTTGGCAGTAATTAGGATGTCATTCATCCTGAATATATATTTTACAACACCCCTTCCCACTTCCTGAAACCATGAGACTCACTTTTACATTGCTTTCTGTAAAAAAAGCAGTTGCTTTTATAATGCTTAGTATTTATTTTTAGCATTTCCTGTACTAAATTATACACGTATTGTTAATGTATGCTTGTATTTTCACTTCTTTTGCATTTGCTTCAGTGCTTTGTTTATAGCAGCTTTTGATCTTTGTGACAATAGCAGGGGGGGTCTCTTCTGGAAGCACTATATAACTATACTGAAAGAAAATGTTTTTCCAAATTTTAGATTTCTTGAATTATTACACCAGTTTACGAATATTCATCTTTCTTGCAAATGACTGTTTTTAATGCCATAAACCAAATGTAGTTTAAAAGCTTGGGGTACATTCTTACAATGGATAGGTAAGATTTGAAGACTGTGGAAAATGATCATATTTTGTATGAAAATCCACATGGTCCACCAGTAGCTATTCGTGAGCAGCTTAATCCAGGTTTCAAATTGGCAGTGCCATAGAGAAATATATGTGCTTCACTAAACTTGATTTGGGGCTGCTAATATGAGTGCTAATGATGCTTCTGAGGAGAGAGTGCCTGACAGCACTAGTAGCTCTGCCTCAGTCTTCTTTTGTCTTAAGAATGGTTGGTTCTGTGCAAATCCAACTAAGAGTTTGTGCCATGATTCCTATACACGCACAGTCCAAGCTTTTCTGTCAGACAAGACTTTGCCACCCCTCCCTGTCTGTTTCCTGACACTATCCCAACACTCTCACAGGCAGTAGAGAAATGACCATGTGGTCGACTCCTTAAGTCATATGTATTTCAACCCAGACAAGAATCATCTGTTAAGTTGTCCTTTTGCACAGTTAGGATCTGAGTATTCCTTTTAAATTTCATAGATAAGAAAAAAAGACTGTAAAATTCTAATATCAGAAGCCACAAATGTTGTATTCTCATAAAGGATCTCTTACATATTTTTAAACGTTCTGAAAGAATATTTGCAAAGTTATTTTCTCACGATTATTTTTTGTTTTCCATAGCCTGTCAATCAAGAGCATCACTATCAGAAAGAAATGAGCCCACTTTCTCATTCCAACCCACGGTAAGATTCTGCTTATAGCCCAGGCAGTAAGGATTCCGTTAAGAGTGTTCTGAATATTAAATGTGACATTCTTTGATTTAATCTTAAATCTCTTTTCAATTGCAATCTCCTCTCAGAGGACTTTACTATTGCTCGTTTTAGTCATTGTCTGCAGTATGTTGGCGTTGTCCTGGAATGCAGAGCTGAATTCTGTATGTTTTGGATGCACCACTGTGTGTTTAACGTAACTGACGTAGGCCTTGCTCCTACACCCGCTTTGATGCGTGATTCAGCAAATCTTCTTCATCTGACTTACACTCTCATTTATTTCTTTCTCCCTCTCTGCTTTGAAGCGTTAGAACTAGAATTCTGTACATGACTGTGTCAGGGAATCCATTTGTTACAAAGATTTTAACGTTACTTATTCAGACCAGGGTTTTTTTATTATCTAGCCCAATCAGGAGACGGTGTTACAGTGCTGTCGGATAGTTCAAAGGGATCTTGACTACAAAGTATTCTAGCTTCCAAGTTTTTACTTGATCTGTTTTGGTTGGAATTGGCAGCAAAATCCCTGTGACTTTTATATAAGACAAGGGGAGAGGGTGGCTAGCAAGAAATAATCAAATTGAGGCAATTGAAATTAATTGTCCAGTTTGAGAACTGCCTTGTACCTGTGAACAGTTTTTGAACCCCAACATTACTTTGACAATTTTTTAACAGACTGAACATGAGGTGTACTTATTTTAAAAAGTAGTCCTGTTTCACTTTCACTTGGTGTCATTAATGTGGATTTTGCATGTCCAAATTTTAACTGGACAGTGTATGTGTGTTGGAAGGAATAGGAGGAGAGAACATTCCAGATACTTTTTTTTTTTCTTTTACCAACAGTGTGAAATGTTGTATGGTAGCGTACTGCCAGTCAGTTATGAGAATAATATGCATTTCTCATCACACAGATGTTTTAAGCCACTTGTCTCACTTGCCATCCACATTTTTATTATCTTCTTGTTAGATTTTGTGAATTGAACACTATGAAACTTGCTGTGCAAGTTCACCCAGATGCACCAGTTATTGCAACATGCAGCCATGTGTTTCCTAGTGCACTCAATACATCACTGGAGTTACAAGTATAATCCTGGATTCCCTGTTCCCTTTCACATGTAAATCAAAGTGCCCGTGTTCACCTAGAAAAGCTCTCTGCCTTGGGTGCTGGTTATCAAGGGAACTATCTCTGTCCTTATGAATTGTTACGATGGCTGAAGTGGATGGAGACACTTGTCCACAGAATAAGAGATCCAGGTACCTTGTGACTGACACTTAGTCGAGGACTCTTTATTTCAGAATCAATTTCATAATTCTGGTGGCATTAGAATTGCCTATATTTTAGTGCAAGCTACGGTGTTTGTTAATTTTGCCCATACATTGGTTGAGTCAGTTTTTAGTAAGTTATTTTTATGCATGTGCTAAAGCAATTTGGTATTTGGTACGTTTTATATACTGAAAAACAGAATAAACACCATGATCTGTAAAAAAAAAAAAGGCTTTTCATCATATCAAGTTAATATTATCAACCGTGAAAACTTGTATTAAATGTATTGTATTAAAACAAAATAGTATAAATTATTATTTAGTTCTCATGCTATTTTAATCCAGTACAAACAGTAGACTTAAATTTCTCTAGAAATCATTTTCGAGAAATGCAGGCAAAGTATTGGTAAAATACCTGACTTGCAAGTGCCTCATAAATTCAGTAGCCCTTGTGAACTGCCAGAAAAGCATTATTGGGCTGTAAATACAGAAGATGACAAAATTATGAGGTCAGTTTGCATCATGATATAAAAACTGGAGAATGATGTGACTTGAATACCATTATTCACATCATTACCTTTCATATATAATGGGAAACTCTGTAATGTTTTTCACAGAGGGTATGTACCTAAATGAGAGGGAGATAAAATTAATGGTAATTCTATAACTTAGTTCCTAAACTGTTTTTAAAGCCAATTTTAACAAGAAATGTATGAGCAACTGGAAAATATCTAAATCTTTGTAAGCCTACTGTAGCTATGTAAGGAAGTACACAGAATATTTGAAAGATTGATGTATCATATGTAGATGAGTGGGTATAAATGGCATGAAGACAATTATGTGGTGCTCTTACTGAAGCAAGAAATAGTTTATTGTAGAGTGATAAAGAATTTGACAGGTCTCAAGTAACTTTAAAAAGCGTAGTAGTGATATTTTCTGGGAAATGAGAAGAGAGCAATGTGGCAGCTATTGTCCAGTAAATGTACCTTTTGTCCATAATAATATAAAAGAACAAGCCAGGAAAGAAAGTACCTGTGAAGATAATGGAAATACAGTCAATAAAAAGACCCAGCTAGACTCTTTTTCCATTGGTTCCACTGGGTAAAGGTCATAAGTCTGCCAAGAACATTGCTGCTGTGATACAAACCACCTCCACATCATGCTGCTTTGCAAGACACAGAACCAATTAATGAAAGGAGACAGGCTGGCTGCAGAGGCTACAGAGCCAGGTGAGCAAGGTGATGTGAGGTCTTTCAGGTCTTTGTTTTGCAGTTCCCACTGACTGATGGGCTGTATGGTCCCAGCTGAACTGCAGAATTGCTCTCTTCTCTCCAGATAGGAAGCTCTAACTATCTTTGCTATTTCTTCCTCCAGTTCAGGGACTGGAAGTCACTATGTACCCTGCATCTACTTAGTAAGCATTTGTCCTCCAAAATATTTATCTGTCATAGAAGGTTTGGAAGTTTCACTGAAATGCTGAAAGAAAGTAAATATTCTAGAAGAAATTTCAGCCATACTGAATTTCAAAATGTAGAATGACCTCTGGAAAGGTCACTTGAGCCTAATTTTATGAAGACTTTCTGAACTTCTACAGATGCTCTCCAGAAAAATTATCTCTGATAAAAGTTAATTTTCTATCTTTGAGAGAGGTTTTTTTTTTTTATAAGTTGGAGAGAGGTTATTTTATAAGTAGAAACCTATCTTTACAAGCATCGCCTCACCAGATCCTCTGTTGGCATCCTACTCAACTTTTCCTAAGCTAACAAAATTTGTTCCTCTGAAGTTCAAACAGCTGTTCCCCTGAAACCACACTAAAGCAGGACACAAATATTTCAGCATTTCATTGGGTATCCTTTCACAAGAAGCGTAGTTTACTGAAGTAATTTCATACAAAATGGACTCAGCCAAATTTTCAGTTAGGTTTTACCCAGACATTTGACTCTACATGTTAAAAAAAAAAAAAAAGTATTCCCATAGTGAATTGTGGGCACAGAGATTTGATGATAGTAAATGTCTGCCTGATTTGGACTATTGCCAAGAATATAAGATCAGCACATAAAACACAGGCATCATTTTATGAGAAAGTCTATTGATCAGTGTTCTCAAACCAAAGAATGAGTGATCAAGCTGTGTTTCATTCACAAATGAAACTAATTGTTAAAGTGCAGTTTAATTTGTTGTCCCTGTTGGTGGCTATTTGGTTTCATATGTTAACAGCTCTAAAATCAACAGCCTACCCACACTCTTCCATATACGTTGGGCTGACAGCTTTTCCAAGAGTGGTTGGAACCTGCAGAAGTTAGTTAATATATCAATGATAATTAAAATTATCTGTGCTTTTGCTGTGGGCTCGGATAGGGTTACCTGTACAGAATTACCAGGAGTAAAAAGAGCTGTACTGCCTTGTTAGTTCCACCTCTATCTCCTCTGTGCTGCGGGAAGCTCACGCTTGAATGGCTGGTATGTTATCATTCCTCTGAAGTGGTGGGATTCAGGACCATCTTCAAGACAGTCCAGTTGCTAACTTGTAAAATAAGCTGATTTATCTGCTCTGTACCTGCAAATCAGTTACTGCTTCAGTGGGATTTTGTGTTTAAATTAGATTCCATCACCAGGTTTGTTGTGAATAAAAAGGAAACCTCTTAAGACTAAGAAACATACAAGGCCCCTAAAATTTTAAGGAAAACGGATGACGTTATGAAGTGTTTACTAAAATTGCTAAATGGAAATATGTTGCAATTCAGGCCAGCATGGATTTATGTTTTATCTATAAAAAGTGTCACGGCTGTACTGTGGTTTAAATCCTTTGTAACTTTGCCACTTGTGGATGTGACACAAAGTTTGTTGTGTCTATAATTGGCTGATAAGGGTCTGCAGTCTTTCAGAAATTATTACTAGCCATTGACCTCACTTTACATGGGCTTGGTACAGGCTGACTAGAGCAAGCTGTCTTGTCATTGTAACCTAGATGTTACATTGGGCTGATCAGGATGTCATCATTCTTCTCTCCTCTACAATCCTTAAAAAAAACCCACCCCCACCCCCACTCCCCTACTCCAAAATTAACATTTTCCTCCTGGTTTTGGTAAAGGTTTCTCTCCAGTTATGATAAATGTTACAGATTTGAGTTGTATCATCCCAAAAGGTGGCTTGCAGATTAACGTGTTTGAGGAGGACAGTAACTATAAACTTTTCAGAAGAAGTTGCAAGTTTTACCTTGAGATTAAAAAAAGCAGAACCCATATCGTTAATTACTACTCTATCAAACAATGTGATTTTTGTAATTATATGCACGCATAGTACTTCAGACAATCACTAAATGGATAAACATGTTTCTTTAACTAAAAGCAGTTTGACTTCTTTTCAGACTTGGTTGTTGGTAAAATCCTGGTAAGTTAGTTAAATATAACAAACACCACTTTCTCTACAGAACTCTGACCACTCTATTGATTTTAGAACATAAATTATTTCATTCACTTTCTTTAAAAATTTCTGCTACAGAAGTCTTTTTTAGAGCCTATTGTTACCATAAATTTTGTTATTATCACAGCACCTGAAATTTGCATAATATATGTATGATTCCAGCACAAAAACACATCCACTGCAAGCTCCCAAGTACTTAAAGTATGTTCAGCTTTGAGACTGCCATTTCAGTACTCTCATCCATCCCAGATGAAAACTAAACATTCCAATATCTGATGCACGTGTTGTTA